TTATAGAGATCCTTAAACTCCTTGAATAAATATATTCCTATGTATTTTATATATTTTTTTTTTTGAGACAGAGTCTCACTTTTGTTGTCCAGGCTAGAGTGAGTGCCGTGGCGTTATATTTTTTATAGCTATTTTAAATGGGACTGCCTTCTTGATTTAGTTCTTAGCCAGATCATTTTTGGTGTATAGAAATGCACCATTTCTATACACCACTGCACTATACATATACTGCACTGATTTCTGTGTAGTAGCAGAAACTTTATTTTGTATCCTGAAACTTCACTAAATTCATTTATCTAATCTAAGAGTTTTGGTGGAGTCCTTAGGGTTTTCTAGATATAAGGTGATATCATCAGTGAACAGGAACAATTTGACTTCCTCTTTTCCAATTTAGATCCATTTTATTTTTTTCTCTTGCCTGATTGCTTTGGCAAGGACTTCCAATACTACATTGAATAAAAGTGGTAAAAGTGGGGATCCTTGTCTTGTTTCAGTTCTTAGGGGGGAATGCTTTCAACTTTTTCCCATTAAGTATGATATTGGCTATAGGTTTGTTGAATGCAGCCTTTATTGTTTTAAAGTATGTTCCTTCTATGTCTTGTTAGTTGAGGATTCTTATCATGAAGAAATGCTGAATTTTGCTGAATGTTTTTTCTGTGTCTATTGACATGATCATATAGTTTTTGTCTTTAATTCTGTTTTGTGATGTATCACATTTATTGATTTGCATATGTTGAACCATTCTTGCATCCCTGGTATAAAACCCACTTGATCATGGTGAATTATCCTTTTGGTGTACTATTGAATATGATTTTCTAGTATTTTGTTGAGGATTTTTATATCTATGTTCATCAGAGATATTGGTCTGTAGTTTTCTTTTTTTATTGTGTCCTTGTCTAGTTTGGACATAAGGGTGATACTGGCCTTGTAGAATGAGTTAAGGATAATTCCTTCCTCCTCAATTTTTTGAACAGTTTTGGGAAAATTGATATTAGTTCTACTTTGTATATTTGGTGGAATTCAGTTGTGAATCCTATCTGACTTTGGGCTTTTTTGTTGTTGGGATATTTTTTATTGCTGATTTAATACTATTACTTGCTATTGGTCTGATGAGAAGTTCTATTTCTTCCTAGTTCAGGATTGACAATTATTTCTTTAAAGAAGCCTGATACCCACCAAGGACTACATAGAACCTCTGGGAATGAGATCTAGACCAGCATTTTTTCAATGTCCCTCTGGTGACTCTAAAGTGAAGCCTAAGTTGAGAAGCACTAATCCAAACACCCCCCATGGCACCAACTACAAAGGATCAAAACTGAACCAAAGGTTGAAACTATAGAAGTATAGGTTGGTTCCTGAAGGCAGTTTTTCTATAAACATTATTTCTGATGTGTAAGAAAATTAATGATTATGCCTCCTCAGAGGAGTTAATAAGCAAGTATTTGTTTACATATTGTTTTAATACATCTTACAACTAATTCTGGGCTTCAAAGGTTAAATTCAAGCCTTGGGGCATCGAGTTTATGTATAATACAATTTAAGCGTATTTAGGGTTCTTACCAAACGATGATTTCTAATCATCTATGTCTGTTATTTCTTTATCTGTTACATGTATAAAATAAAAATAATTTTTCTTATTCAATAATGTATAATTTTAAACAATTACTCATAGTCCAAGGTTGTAATAAAAAAAACTTTTAGTTCAATCATTTCGACACATTCTGAATCAAGCATCACATGTAGTATGAGTTTTTTGAAAGTTGCTGTATTTTTTGTTTTGAACTTTTCCAGTAAGAAATGATAGAGACATTTTCAAAGTTTATTTAGAAAGAACTTACTGAATAGACTAACAAGCCATGCACACCAGCTCCCTGCTGTTCAATTTAACTGTGGGTAGCTGAAACACCTGCTTTTTCTGTGTTACCAGATTATTTATTTGAGTTTCACTAATGAGTCCCCAGCTTGATGCCTTGTTTCTATGTTAAATCTTCTTTGAAAGGAATGTTTCCCATTCCTTTCCCATACCCACACCCAAACAGAAGTCCAAAATATAATATGTTACTTACTATTTAAGGACATATAAAATTGGATTTCTTCTCTAAGAAGAAGAAATGAGATTGTTGGAAAACCACTGGTGAAAACGATTTATAAGTTTACACTATGGATGGGAAAGAAAACATTTTGGGAGGCACTACCAAAATGTGGTGCTTTCACAAATATTTTCTAATTGAATTTTCAAGGCTTCTCCTTACAGGTGAGGAAAGTGAGGCTCAGAGAGATCAAATATACCCACTTTTACATAGAGAGTGACATAGGGATCCAATCTTATTTTCCTCCATATAAGCACAACCCATTATAGCATTACAGTTAATTTCTAGATATTGCATTGCTCTGAGAAAATTAATGCACTAGACAGACTAAAATATAATATATAAATAATGTATACATAAAGAAAGATATTAAACTTGTCTGGAACTAATGATGTTTATCAGGAATTAGAATCCTTTTTACAACCTTTGCTTGGATATTCATATTGCTTAAATAATAAAATATGTAATACCGTAATTTGATTTAATTCATATAATAGGATATTTTTCAGCTAAAGGATACTAGGTTACATTAGGAAATACTTATGATAAACTTTTAAATGGGGGAAAAAGCATGACTCTAATGCTGTGTGTTTCTAGGGTTGTATGTGAAAAGACTGAAAGGGAATGTGCAAAATATTAATAATGATTTTCTTTGGGTTGAAGGATTAGCAATTATTTTCCTTATAGTTTTGAAATTTTCTATCATGCACTTTATATAATAAAATATGTTATTAAACATTTATTTTACTCAACAATAAGAAAACAAACAACCTGATTAAAAAATGAGCCAAAGATTAACAGACATGTCACCAAAGAAGATATTTAGGAAAATAAGCATGTAAAAGATGTTCCACATCGTATATAATTAGGGAAATACAAATTAAAACAAGATACCACCACACAACTACTAGAATGGCCAAAATCCAGAACACAGACAAAGCCAAATGCTGGCAATAATGTGGAACAGCAGGAAATCCCATTCATTGCTAGTGGAGATGCAAAATGGTACAGCCACTTTGGAAGACAATTTGTGATTTCTAACAAAACTAAATATACTCTTACCATACAATCCAGCAATCATGCTCCTTGGTATTTGCTCAAATTAACTGAAAACTTATGTCCACACAGAAACTTGCACATGAATATTTATAACAACTTTATTCATAATTGTCAAAATTTGGAAGCAACCAAGATATCTTCAGTAGGTGAATGGATAAATAAACTGTGGTACATCCAGACAATGAAATATTTTTTATCTCTAAACAAAAATGACCTATCAAGCCATGAAACGACACAGAGGAAACTTGAATGCATATTATGAAGTAAAAAATGCCAATCTGAAAAGGTTCCCTAGTATATGATTCTAACTACATAACATTGTGGAAAAGGCCAAACTACGGAGACAGTGAAAAGATCAGTGGTTGCCAGCGGTTGGGGAAGGAGCAATGAATAGGCAGAGCACAGAGGGTTCTTAACGGCAGTGCAAACGGTCTTATGATTCTATAATGATGGATGCATGTCATTACACATTTATCCAAACCCATAGAATGTACAATACCAAGAGTGAATCCTCATGTAAACTGTGGACTTTGGGTGATAATGATGAGTATAACAGATGTACCACTATCTAGGGCATGTTAATAACTTTTAATTTCCTAAACACATAAACCAGATGCGGAAAAATTTTAAAGAACTCAAAAAATGATCAGTCATTGCCAGTCTTCTGTCACTGCACCTTTTATCAAGTGAATATTCAAACCAACTAGTTTGAATACCTACAATACACTGCAGTATTCAAATAGAAGCAAGAAACTAAACTAAAACAAAATAAAGTGTTATGATCCCTATGAGATTTAAGTCTAAATAAATGCCATCTACTTCTTTCACCCCTACCCGTGAACTCCTATCCTTTCAGGCATGTATGTCACACTGCCTTCCCTATTTTCAATCATTATCTAGTAGCATTGGCCCATTGTTTACCAGAGCTTTATGACTTAGCTCTACCTACAAATATCAACAACCCAAGATACTAATAACATAAATTTCTCTAAATCTTGATAGTAATTAGTCACTGTTCCCACCCAATCTGCTATGATAGACATTTGTTTTCTTGCAGATCAATATGGAGCATCTGAAAAACTTTTGGAAAGTATTTATAGCCGCGCCACCCCCCTTGGTGTAAATGCATAGATTTCCAAATAACAAGACACAACGGGGAGAGGAGCAACTGCCACATGGCTGCTTTGCTCATTTTGCTTTCAGCACTTTATGGTTCCATTTTTGCACATCCCACACACCTACAAGTGGTTGCCTGGCTGGTAGCTATTACTTATTGCAAAACTGAGATATTTGAAACAAGTTAAGGAACTAGGGAAACGTAAATGGGAACAGCAATCAAAACTATACTTGGAAATCATAAAAGTGATAGTGGAGCAAGACATCAGTGTAGAAATAAAATTTTTTAGAAAGCTAACAGAGTGTAATTTTTAAGAACTTGAGCCCTGGAGTCAGACAAAACCTAGAAATGAATTTCAACTCTGCCACTAACAAGACCTATTACATTGGTCAAGTTACTTTGAATCTCTAAGCCTCTGTGGTTCGATCCATAAAATGGGAAAATAATACCCACCCCTTAAGGGTTTGTGATAATTTAGATAATGCCTGGTACATAGTAACTACTCAAAAAAATATAGCTATTGTTGTAGAAGCCATTGTTTTGTTTATTATTATTCTAGAAGCTCAATCAATGCATAGTGGTATTTGCTAATGTGATCAGGATCTTTATTATGTAAATAGTAGATTATTCAAAAAGAGCTTTTTAGTTCTCCTCTAAATTACCGACAGAAGCATATTCAACAAAAGTTCATGCATTTTTCAATTATATTTTAATGTGTCTAATATGTCTCTTACCTTTGCTTTTATTATCAGTTCCTCATGCTTACGAATTAGCTCCTCATTGTCTGAAAGAGATGAACCTAGACTTTGTTCCTGTAAATCTCTGATGGTTTTCTGAAACCAGCAAGTAACCTAGGTAAGAAGTAATAAAGAAAGATCAAAATTCAAATACTCAGAAGAAGTGAGTAAAAATTCAGAAATAATTTCTCAATCTTTCAATGCTTAAAATGAATTTCTCTTTATATAAACTAAGCTCATGGATTATATTAAAATGATCGAGTTCTTTATTTTTATTCATTTCAACCTTTGCGTGCTTAAGAGAAAAAAAAAACATAATTCCAGAAAAGCCTGAAAATGACTTGTCAGTTCAGCAGATTACATGGCATGAAGAATTCAAAATTTCCTAGCAAAGAACCAAAATAGATTCCCATACAGTCCGTAAATCATGCATTCTTTTAAAATATAAATTCTTTCCTGAATATGAATATAAATCTGAGAATAGTTACATAAACCCATATGAAGATATTAGATAGCATATGTAGAATTATATTTTCTGCTATAAGAAAGGCAATACAAAAATATTTAGTTTGCTGCAATTATAGAAAATCTATATCCAGAAAATAGAGGGGTTATTAAAATTCCATTGACATTACAAGTGGCTAAGGGTGTGACTGACATTTAGTAGACTTGGTTCACAATACCAGCCATATACAGTGATAAAACAAGAAATAGCGAAGAACTTGAAAGAAGCTCATACATTTTAAAATGATGCCATAACTTGACATGGGCCCCCTGGAAGTAGATTCCTCATTGCAATTAAAGGAGACTTGGATTTTTACTCTCAGATCCTGTACAGTTTTATCCTTGTGGTCACATCATAGCCACTGATTCTTAAGAGACTGCTACGAACTAGACAGTTTGCTAGTTGATTTGGAGGCCTCACCTCTACTTCTCTCAACAATTTTGTAGTAGGTATGATATCATCATCGCAGAGATGAGGTAACTGAGTTTTTGAGAGGTTAAGCTGCTTATCCAGGGCTGTGTAGTAAGTAGCAGAGACAGGATTTGTCTACAAGTCTACAAGATCTCAAAGTCCATGCTCTTTTCCCTATCCCCTGCTACCCCTCTTGAGTAACCTAAAGTCTCACAGTCATCAGCGGGAATGACTTCAAGCCTGAAAAATGAATACTGGCAGCCCATTCACAACAATGGGCTATAATCCCATGCCTGACACTGTGTTTTTCTCTAGCCAGGTTGTCTTGCCTGCAACAGCCTCAAGATGGCCAAGGAGAAAGCTAGGTTCAGACCAAAGTTTCCCACAATAAATGTGCACACATCATATACATATGTCAGAGTTAGAGGCTCGCCTAGAATCAGACACCCCAGGACCATTACACACCTGCTATCACAAAGCTGACTATGAGATCAAAAGGTCTGCACCAACTTGTAGCCTTTTCTAGCATGGAATAATAGGCAGTAATACAGGGGATGGGACAATTTCCCCAGCTCTCTGCTAATTGGAAATCTTTGTCAACCAGCATTTTAGCCCATTGTGGGTGCAAAAAAAAGAATATTGGTGAACTTACAGCAGTTTTCATGTGAAGTACACCTCATTTTCTTCAGAATATTTGGTAATCTATGCATAATATACACATTCTAGCCAGTCCCTATATTTAAAGTATTATGCTGACTGTAAAAGTATTGTAAAAGTATTTTACTTTTACAAGTAAAATTATTTTACAAGTAAAAGTATTTACAATCACTTGACGGCAGTCTGTTTTTCTAGTATCCCAATTAGAGCTAGAGGAAATGTATAATATGCACATTAGAACTCACAGAGAGTATTTTATCAAGAGCTATAAAATGTATTCATTAATTTATTTTATTTTATAAAACAAAATAATTTTTCACAAAAATGCAGTCAGCCCTATAAAAACTCAACTAGAGGAATGATGTGAGGATTTTCCTCAAAATAAAGTGGATCATGAATATAACTAATTTTCAGAGATACTTATTTTATTAAGTAGTGGGAGTGAGTTTTACTTATTCTTAGCTAAAATGGGAGGGACCTAGAAATTTCAAGAATGCTTTAATGGGGACAGTTATTAAAGAATCTGAGTGGATGAAAAATGAGTAAAAACAGGTGTTCACTAATCTCTAAAAACAGGTGAGAAGCTTGAACCCTCAGATAATCCTATTAAACTTTGTGAGTCAAAGACTTGTCATCTAACACATGCCAACAGTGATGAAAGTCAGGAAAGAGTGAGTTGTTTTGATTTTCAAACAGTATCTACTGACCTCATCCCTAGATTTGGCAAGTACTATCTCAACTCCTAAGGGATACTATTCCTGTTAGGCAGTACTATTCCCTTTAAGAGAATGTAGTTAGAGAACTATGGTAATATTCAATATATCTTGTTTGCATACCTGCTTGTTAAAGCATGCTGTCTTTCTACAGCTACACATTCTTACTACCAGATGCATTCTGAAAAGAAACATAAAAACAAGTTGGCACAAAACTCAGAAGTAAGTAAGATCATCATGAGTGTGTTATATCTCATTATGAGGTATTCACACACATGAACAGCCTCTTAGATCACATTCGCCATGTGTGCTGTGGGATGTACACAAAATAGGCTCTGAGTCCTTCTGATGCTAAAATAAGACACCCTAAATAACCAAGAGCACGTCAACCATAATGTTCTGCCACCCAGTAAATCAGTCATTGTGTCTTTCGAGTAGCCACCACAGACAGCTGCACAGATATTCCAAGTGCACTTTTTATAAGCTTTTAAATTATATCAGCTGCTGTCCAAAAGCCTGAGTGATAAGTACAGTAAATGATGCATCAAGACATTTCTGTAGAATGTGGTCCCTGCAAAAGTATGAAGACATGAGCCACAGGTTGAGGGGATGAGGAAAGGAAGGAAGGACAAAAAGCATTTAAAGTATGCACCGGGAATTGGTTCTGGGCAACGAGATGGATTAAAGGGGAAAATAAGAAGACTTTTGCTCTCTCTTCCCAGTTTCGACCTTTCAGCCTGACTGAAGCAACGTGTTCATGGTCATACCATGGATTTGGCATGACATGCTAGGTATTCGGTGCCCAGAGGAGGTAGAACTAAGGCACAGAAGGAGTGAGGCAGATCTTTTTGCTGGGGGAGTGGAAGGGCTAAAAGTAGCACCTTTCATAGAGTGACAAATTAGAGAGAAAAGAAAGTCAGCAAAGAAGGAGTAATCAGGAACGTTCAATGAACACCAAGATCTGCCTTGAAAGTTAAAAAGGAATGACAGGAAAACTTACACCAAAAATGGTGCAGACCTGCTCTGTTCAATATGGTAGCCACTAACCACACTTGGTTATCTAGTACTTGCAATGTGACTAGTCCAAACTGTGACATGCTCTATGTGTAAAATACACAGCAGATTTCACTGACTTGGTATAAAAATAATGAAAATATCTCATTAAGAATGTTAGTATTGATTACCTATTAAAATAATATTTTAGATGTGTTGGGTTAAATAAAAAATATTATTGCTTTTCACTTTTATGTGGCTTTTTACTTTTTAAATATTTCTTTTTTACTTTTTTAATGTAGCTACCAGAAAATTCAAACTCACATATGTGAGTTGTGTTATGTTATCACTGGGTGGTTCTGCAATTCAAGGGTATTCAGAGTTTCTTTATATGTTAAATGTAGATTTTGGGGCTGAGTTTTAACTAAGGGCGATTTAAAATAGTGCAGTCAGTAGACCAGTATAATGAGATATGCCAGTTAGTAAGTATTTATGGGCCACTGAGTAGGGAGGTGAGAAAATGGAACCAATGACACTTTGAAGAAGTATATTGGCTTAATTTATTGGCTAAGTAAATGATGGCAGCTTCAGAGAAAGCAGAGGTAACAAAAGGGCATCTCCCACCTTTTTTTCTACTTTGATCAGATGAGATTTACGCATTTCTTGGCAGATGTAGGGAACTGAAGATGCAGGGAGGAAAGCTGATACAGGAATGTACCAGAAAATGGGAAGGTTGGAAGAGAGAACTATTGAAGGTATTTAGTCTTGGACAAGGAAAAACTAGTTTTTGCTTGTTGGACATCCCACCCCCACCTTGAACCCCTACTGATAGAGAAGAAGGAAGATAGTAAAGTGAGCCAGCCTTCACAGAGTGGTATCAGGTAGGACTCTAGGTGGGTTACAACATTGCCTCAACTGATCTTCACACCCTTCCAACGATGGAGATATTTGTTTTTTCAACAGATAAGGAAATTGAGACCCAGACAGGCAAGGTAACTTGCCTAAGTTCACACAACCAATGTGTGGGGATCCAGAAATGCCACCATCAGAATTTATGCTTTTCTATCCAGTATTTTTATTTCTCATCATATCCATCTGCAGAAACAAAGGATTCTGGAGAAGAGAAGTGGTTCTTATTAGGCTATGATTATGAACTTTCTTAAAATGAAGACCGAAACACAGGGCTGTGGTTACAGAACCTAATCCTAACATGAAATAGGTCCTGTGTACAATCACATGGTGGGTGAGACAATGAAAATACTGCATTAGAGAGTAGAACGGATGTGTGGGAGGGGCCCGGGAGGAGGAGGCCAGCTGCAGGCAGAGGTGACAACAAGCACAGACTGAGAATTCCTGTTACCAAACAATATGTGACAAAGACAGGACTGAGAGATGGGGAATACAAGCAGTAGAAAATGTTCTGTGATGGTCAAGGATAAATAAGTCAGACGGCAAGAAGGTGGACTGCTGCCCCAGCCCAAAGCCGTGCATCAGAATGCCATAAGCCACTGCAGTTTCTTTTGGTACAATTTGTTCTACAATCTGAGATTGGATCTTGTTTTTTCATCTTTATTTAAAGATATGCGGTAGAAGGCAAGCTAGCAATAAGCAATTCAAACCACCTTAACAAAAATGCTTAAGGGTAGATGAAAATCTCAACAAATTACTTTCATTTTCTTTTCCACGTGCACAATAATAGCTCTTGCTGAGCAACCAGTTACTATTAGAGAAAAAAAAAAAAAAAAAACAACTGATAAAGGAGGAAAAAAGACATCACTTATTTATCTTCTTTAACCCAAGACTTTTTGACAGACTCTCTTCCAATTACTGAAACA